CGATCATCGAACGGATTGATGCGGATTTGTAAAAGAAATTCACATTACGATATTCTACCTTCTAACAATCAGGCGAAATGATAGCATTCATTATGAGTAACAAATAAAAGTACTTGCAAATGGTTTGATGTTAATACCGCTCACATATATTAAGGGTTACCTCATTTGAAAACTGGTGTCGGGGCTGACAGATTTCGTGAAAAAAAAAATAGAAAGAAAAAAAAACAGAACAATTTAGCAGAATATTTCATCTTGAATTACAACTAGACAAAATGTAAACATAAAATAATATCTGTGAATATCCAATTTCCCCAAAGGCAAATTCTTGCACCCCCCATGTTTCAAATTGGCAACCCCTAATATTGAAAAATAATCGTTATAAAATTAGAATTCCTGCAAGTTACAGGTATAAGAAAAAATGCAAATTATGACAAGGGAGGATAATAGTTTCCTAGCTCAGGTTTAAATGATAAAATCTCTTAATAATAATATATGTGAATAATTTTGTGAATGCTATGTATGTATTATTAAAATTTGTTAAAAATAGTACTGAATTTTGAAATGCTATGACACTGCCATCCATCATGCAAAGTCAACAAAAATATTTGTGATTGGTGGTGGGAATTTGGCAGTTAGGTCAGAAAAAAAAATCATTTTTTTCTAGGGTGGCTATTAATTTGATTATATCCTTAAATCTATGATTTCCCACGATGACTACAGTTTATTTTTTATTTTTCTCGAAATCCCACAAAAAAGAAAAAAAAAATGTGACGCACACGGCGACAAGAAACATGAATATTTCGTTTCTGTAACATCACATGACGAGAGTTATCGATTTGAAAGGTTTTTCAAAGATATCGGTTTCGAGATTCAACTTTCTTTCATAGATTTATTTCCCGGGGTTCAAATGCAGCGCACTGCCATTCATTGTCATTTTAGTGACCATTTTATTTCATCCATTCATGAAATCAAACATGCTTTGGATATGCAGTTTATAAAAAAAACTATGCACAGTCGAATTCCTGGGCAGCATATATTTCGCTGATTTGATTCGTCAATCACGTTTTTGAATTTCACGTGACTGAGGTTCTTTGCGAGAGAATTACCTCGTCCCCTATTTGATTTGAATACCATAGTGCAACCATTACTTATGCATGTAAAAACAGCGTAAAAAGACCTACGTGGAAGTAGAATTTTGTTTAAAAGAGTTAACTCGATCAACATTATTCAGTTCTCAAATGAATGGTACTTTTGTGCCGGTAAGGGCTAAAAAGAGTTTTACGCGAATGACGCGCTTATTACAGACATGTCACAGAACAAGGTAAGACCGCCAGGCATTGTCATGTGACTTGTGCACGGAAAAGCGGACAGTACTACTGACGATACACGAGGGCAAGGTAGGTGTGAGTAGTGCTGTGTCATTGGTGTGAATTAGTTAATGTCATTTCTTTTGTTTTACCGGAAGATTTCGATCTATTGCAGCTGTTCGACTTGGCGAAACCACGCTATAGTAGCCTCATTGATAGCAACGTGCGGGTAGCCGTGCTCGACTTACCACTCGGTTCCATCGATCGCGGCAGATCGTCCCAAAATTAATCCAATATGGCTCCTATAGACTCCAAGAGATTAATTCAACAGTATATAGCTGACAATAAAGTCATGATATTCAGCAAATCTACTTGTCCATTCTGCAAACGGGTGAGTGCTATTTATTTTCAAATTAAAGGTTTCAGTATTCAGTTTGCAAACTAGTCGAAACCCTGTACAAATTTGTCTATCTTTAGTTTCATTATTTTTCGGGGTAGAGACGAAATCAGTTAAGTTGAGAGCTGCACGTTTAAATGTTTATTTATGATTTTTGTTTATACGTGTATTTGCATTATTGATCTGTATGTTAATTGCCTATTTTGCATAAAAATCCACAGTAACTTGGGGGCTGAAAATCAATAAATACTAATTTTCAAAAAAAAATCATCCGCTATACGTATATAAATAAACAAGTTGTGAAACACGGCACCTAGTAAATCGACACCCTGTCGGTTTCAAATGTCGAATTTCTTACCTTAAAATGCGAAACAAATTTTTTAGAGGAAATCAGGTGTTA